GACCATTCTTCCCGCGCCACTCCGCGCTACCGACTTGGCACCATCCGTCCGGCGAGCTTTTGTACCGTCTTCCGGCGAAACCCGAGAGCTCGGCGCGCCCTGGTAGAAGATCTCTTGCCGTTGGACCAACGCGGAGCTGCGGAGGAAACGGGAGAAAACCGTCGCCACAATGCCCGACGCCGTGGAATCAGGATATTCGCGCTCATGGGTGCACGAACCGCTCTTCCTTCGCCGGCTACTCTATGAATGCAATGTACCTAGGGAATGTATACAGGCCGCGCCTCTCAAACCACTTTCCAACATCCAAGGAATTCCTCGGTCAATCTAGAACCGATTTTTCCTTGGTGAAAGTCTGATCGAGCGTAAATCTTGTCTCGCATAGTCGAGGTATCTTTGTAATTCTTTAAAGTCTCCAGCGTTGTTATTAAAATATTTACATTTATGCACAGTTTTATGAAAAATATCTTCGTACATTTAATTTATATATACATACATAAAATTTACGAGCACAAACTCCCTTATTAAAATATTTTTTCCTATACTAATATTCTCGTGCACGTGCTCGAAAAGTTGGCTGAAGATTATGCATACTTTTACGCATACTTAACTGTTTTTTGTGCAAAATATGATATAATTTAATAATGTTATTACATTATTAAATATAATTTAATAATGTAATAACGATATAACAAAAAAATTTGCGGCATATTATTACTCGGGTTTTTTCAAACCCTGCGTTATCATTGTAGTATGCAATGTGGAAAATAAGGATCTACTGCGCTTTAACAAAGGGTGTACTATGCGGAGTATTACAAGTTTCTTGTCCGAAAATTCTTCGGTTCCTCTATACTGTTTTCGCTTCACGCAGGCGACGCTCCCCTTCTCCTTCACGACAAAATGAAATATCTTCTGCCGGGCTTCGGCAAATAGCTGAAAGTACTCTGAATCATGCCAGCAAGCTTATGGTACATCGAGCGGAAAATTACAAATGGTCGAACCGGACGCTCTACAACTGGCAACCCCTTCGGACCCCACCTTGCGTGTAACTGAACTCTGAGAAGTAAACTTCTTAAGTTCACGATGATTGCAAACTTACACATGTCTTCCGCTAATTCTGCAAGACAAGTTCTTTAAGAAGTTTTTCAAAATAACAGCCGCTTGAGAAACCGTTTTCCTCCGATACGCGAACGCGATCGGTCGAGCAGTTGTTGAGTGATCGATCGAGTGAAACGATTCTTCAAAGAAATACGCAGCGTACGAAATGTGCGGTAAATTGTACCTCGATACTTTAAGAAGAATAATACATGTTTCAGTAAATTATAAGAATTCGAGATTGTTTCTTTTCAAATTATAAATAAAGGTGTGAAAGAAAACAATCTAAATAAATAAGACACTTGTAATTGTGAGAGAAGTGCGTTTATACGAAATGTGTAAAACAATCCAAAACATCTTGTTTATCTATAATTCGTGTCGGCTAATACGATCGTCGTACACTTATTGTTTTACATCAATATTCTGCGCGAAATTTCAATATAAACACTATCTACGTCAGATGCATATCTCTTCAGGAATCTCGTTTCGCCCGGTAAGCCGCGAGAAACTACGCGCGTCCGGCACTTATATGTGAATTCTCGCCAAAGAATTTACATAGCCGACCACGGTCCGCAATCCACTGGCAAAATGCTTCCACGACACAAGTCTGGAATTAAGGGGAGCTTAAGATTTAACGCGTTTCGACTCGCGAGGATCCTGTTTCGCGGCCCGATAATTCAACCCCACGCCTGACGACGACGACGACGAAGGGTGGCGTCAGAGTTTCGCGCCGAATAACCCGTCGTGCAAAAACAACTCCCGACGTCTGTCCCGTTTTCTCCTCCCAGTTTTCCTCTCGCTCATCCCCCCGTACAACCTTGCGTTGTTTGCCCCCGCGTCCGCCACCCTTTGTTCAGCGACCAGTCGCGTCAAACCTTGCGAGTACTTTGCATAATTTCTCACTTTTGCATAACCGAGTTGCTTCTTTTTTCACGTCCCCGCCTGAAGAAGAAACTAAGGTCGTCGTCCGGAGACTAAACGAATCTACCTTGTCTTCCTTAGCGCGACGGACCTCGGTCTCTATCCCCGAGAAATCAATAACGCCTAACAATTTTTCTTTTATATTACTTTATAGCGCAAACAGCACATTTTTAATGGAAAAAAAATTAATGGCGCTAATAGAATGATAAAGTCTAAGGCGACGTGTAATATAGAATTCCGATGAACTAATAAATCTCAGATGTTTCATCACCAGGGTTTGACAAGATGGGCCCAACCCAAAAAACTCATTGGGCTGGGCTTTTTTAAAAAAATCCGGGTTTTTTCAAAATGAAGATTTTAATGAAGTTAGAGAAACAAGAAACCGCGCGAGAGACTACCACGTCGAATCAGTCTCGAACTCGTTAGCTCGCTCTCGAAAAACGGGCAAAACGGGCGATACGGGGTGAGAGCGACGCAGAAAAAAGCAGGTTCAAATACGCCGTTAGATACCTTTGAAACAAGATTTGGACGTGGTCGCAAAGAAGTTAAGCGGATTTTATCCCTAATTCCAGCGGATGCGCGAACGGCAAATTACGCGAATTCTCGTCTATAGCGAAAGACTATTAGAGACGAAAGTAAAACGGGTTATTCGCACTTCGTCCCGCGAGAGAATAATTTCGATTTTCACGTGTCACGGTCAGGTCTCACCCCGCAAACTGGCCGCTGAACGGTAAACAAACAACACGTCAGCGTGATAAATGCGATGCCAATGTCGATGCACGCTCGTGTCGATGCAAATGCATACCGATGCAAATTAAGACAAAGAAATGATCCTATGTTCGTATGTGTGTGTGTGTGTGTGTGTGTGTGTATTCGTGTTTGCTACTGTCGTGTTTTAAATGATGCTATTTTTCCATTTTACTGTCAAACGCGTCGACCGTAGTCATTCTCTCATTTTACAGGATGTAAATATGGGCGTCAAGTAAATCGTATAGAGTTCTTAATCATTTTGGACTTTCGGAGCGTACAAGTAAAATAAATTTTGCATTTATTATATTTTCTCGCGTGTGTAAAGCTAGCACTCCAACATTAAAATTTCGTAGTTCTAATTAGAATTTTCACTTCATTTTAAAGAGACGAGAGAGTTCCCTACAGTTTATAACAAGAATTTTGAGTGGATATCATAAAAAAATATATAAAATAAAGATATATATAAGAATATATATAAAAAAGTTTTAGTTTTAAAATTTTATGACGAAAGTTTTAATTTTTTAGCTGTATATTTACATTTTTAATAATGTAATATTAAACAAGAAATGTAAATATTATAAAACTTTTAATAAACTTAAAAAATTGTTTCTATGCTCTCACTGATATTCGCTCAAAAATATATCAAGTTAACTTCGAAGATATGATTCACTTTTTAAATATAAAAATAATACGTATAAAAAAACATATATTTCTTAGATTTGTTTGTTTTCGATTTCACAGAAATTGAATCAAGCTGTCTCAAGAGACTTGAAATGTTTCTCTTATTAGGAAACAAAAATATCGATACTGTAATAGCAAAATGTTCTTATTCCATCCCATAGGTGCGTTTAATCTTGCGTGTGCTGTCTGTATACCATGTGCATGTAACGACTGCGTTATAGTCGCATCCCTATTTTCGCCCACACGAGAATATAATAAATACATTTCATCCCGCATCAAATGAGGCGATAATTATAGCGATTATAATAGCGATAATACTCGCTTATTATTAAAATGAAAATGGGAAGGGAGATTACTGAACAAAAAAAAAAAGCAAATATAGTACACAGAAATGAGTGAAATGCGACGCTTCCAGATTGAAACGTAACGCGAGACATTCCTGCAAAGAATGGTGCGTTACGCTGCGTTCGTTCAAAGCGGATTACTACAATGCGAAAACGTACGCAATTACGGGAGACGTGAGGCGTCGACTTTGTCCGACTCCAAGCGCAATGCTCAGTGCATACACGACCATGTTTAGCGAGTAATACGAGCTCTCGCTCTCTCTTTCTCCCTTTCTCCGCATCGTTTCTACCCAAAAGAACGACCAGAGTTCTTGTATTCACCGACGTAATATAATATTCGCGCTGTGCTTCCGCGGTAACAATGGTATTACGGATTACTCGCCCTATTTTACACGGGCACCGTTGTGAAATGTGGCCGAGAGAGCCGCGTCTTTATCTCACAGCGCGGATAATGGGAAATCTCTCGGATTGTTAAGTCGTCGCCAATGGTGTCTTTGAGCGACGGTGAATTAATTAAACTGCAACTAATCGGATCGCGCTAATTTCGTAATTCGCGAAAGGTACAACGACATGCGGGATAATTAAAAATTGTTTCGCTCCGTTGATCGGCGCGCGATACTTTGCGACGAAACTTCCCCGACTTCGACGTACATTTATGCACTCCCGAATTGCGAGTAATGTTGCACAATGTGCCCGTGCATGAGGTGTATGAAAGTTTTCGTAATCTGCGAAGCTATTACGTTCGATACACCTCTGGCGAATAATACATGGGGTGATTAATACGCGCATAAATGGAAAGCAGTTTCCTATTCCTCTTCTAGGAGAGCATCGGATTGCGAGCAACCTGTTTCTCCTTCTCCTTTCCCTTCCCCCCCTCGCTCTTAAGCATCATCATTCATTGTATCGCGTAACTAGCACAATTATACCCCTTCTTGAACACGCGTTGAATGGCACACGCGGCGACCCTTTCGAGCGTAATTCCAATGGCGGGATTACGCCAATTATGTGAATGCCGCATGTTAATGCGGTTGATAAATCTCATTCTGCGGATGATATCTCTGTGCTAACGGGTCTAACGGCGCTAACGTGCGGTGTGAAATTTAGTCAATGTGTTTCAACATGAGAGCAAGTTAGAAAATAACGATATATGATAAAAACAAAGAAATATTTCTAATTATTTAAATTAAATCACAAAAATGTCATTTAACTCACCGGGTTTTTTACTTCACCGGGGGTTTTATTAGGTTGGACCCACTTTAAAAAATCCACCTGTAACATTTCACAAAAAAAAAATTTAATAATAATATAAACAAAATACTTAATATAAAGTAATACAAATAAATATAATTTAATGTTATAAAACAAGACATATTAAAATTGGCATAAAAATAGGATACATAATGAAATTGAATTAATGTATTTTACATTTTAGTTCCAATCAATATTTACATCCTTATTAGATCGCAAAAAACGACAAACTACTTTTACAAGCTTTATGGCTTTTTTTATTCCAAGTCAATTTCGTAGTTTCGACCAGACAAATCCAAAAATTAAAAAAAATCGCTCAAAATAAATGCTGAAGACGCAGGACAAGACAGTAAATTTAAAAAAAAATCGCAGAATACTCTTGGTAAATTAAATAAAGTAAAATTAAGATTATAATTGTATTATTGAGTACAATTGTGTTGTTATGCGAACAAAAAAAAATTGTAGTTTTTATAACTTTTCGATAAAGAGCTATTAGCTAGCTCTTCTTTAAACTATTATTTTGTATTCTGATAATATTTTACTGATTAAGGATCAATTTAGCATTTGGATTATACGTGGCTGCAAACCAGTTATGGTAAACCGGGCTAATGCATGCTTATCGCTAGTTGTGCAAATACCGCGAGCGCAAATAATGCGCATTTTAATGTGCTCAACAAAAACTGAGTGTTCATGCTACTGGTTAGCGTAAGCCAGATTAAGCCGCGTTATCCTGCGCAGCGCTGGACGATTGAACGGACGAGAGGCGAAGCCGAGATGTTTTATGAGGATTACTCGTGGAAATGCCAACAAGGACGCATGCAAAGCTTCCCGATAAACGGGACAAATCGTATTGACAAATCTCCCATCCAACGTAGGTAAAATCGAGTCCGAACTGATCAAAGAACCAATGGATAAATGAACCCCGCGGGCGGTATACGAGCGCTCTATCACCGCTATCGTTGCATAATTGTACATACACATCCACCTCGTAGGGCGTAAATCGATCTTGAACACGCAAACTTCGGGCAATCGATCAACAAACGACGGTCGCTCGCCCATTCGGAGGCTGTACACGAAGAAGACATGGATCATACAATCGCGATCGCGCAACGAGACGCTCATGTGAGCAGATTTGCCGTCCGTACCGTTCCCTATTATTTGTGTCCGCGATTGTAGGCCGTGGCAAGGCCACCGGAGGCAATAAATCGATCCAGGGAGGCCAATTCCGCTTCGATCGTTCGTCCCACCTAATCTCGTTCGAGCCGCTTCCGGAGTGCGATTTTATCGGAATCCTATTCGCGTGTCTTCGTGTTCGCGGTTTCTCGTTCCCCCGTGTCCTGGCCACGACAGTTTTCCCGTGTACCTGGCTGATATTTTATACATTAGCGTGTGCCTTCTAGCACTTTGTAAATCAATTTTTACATTGCCTCTTGAATCGAATTTAAGTGTCTCAGTGGGATCGGAGCGAGCAACCGCAGACGAAACAGGGAAACGCTTTTGAATACGAAACAGATTCGCCCTCATATCGCATTTTGCCGCCGGTTACGAGAGTGTTCTCTTATAAAATCTGTTTCCAAAGATGCTATTGTTTGGAGGGGAAGAGATCGAGTACAGTAAACGATCGCGTACATGCTCGCATATTGTTTAAAGTACCGATTTGAATACAACATCGTTGTAACATCGTAAAACGACAACAGACTTTTATACGAATTTCTTCCTCGTTTGAAATCAATGAATGGCACTTTCTGCAGTTTTACGAAATTGAGAGTAAAATGAAATAATAAACGAGTGAAGCTATGCTTATTACAAACGGCAATACAAACATTTCACAAAGATCCGCAAACTGTGCAAACTTAGAGTAATTCCAAAAGCCTGCAGTCAACGTGTTTAACATGCATGAGCAAACAATTAGTATTTATCTTGTTGCATCGCGTGTATTACTGTCAAAGACCGGGAGCCTCGCAGTGCAAATAAGCGTATCGATAAACAACGGTTAGACGCGTTACACATCGCTGTCACGACGCTACCGCGAATGCGTCAAAGTGAATCGCCATATCGTCATAATAGCACACATCAAAGTTATTGACCATAATTAAGGGCCTCTACTTAACGATCGATAATCGATCGGTTCGGATATGCCTGTGACCACGGGGTCAACGATCTCTTCCTTCTGTATCGGATATGATCGATGATGGATGTCATCAGGGAGCGAGCGTCAAATGATTTATCGGACTTTGACCATCCACCACGGCGTTGATGTTCTCTCGTATGCACCCTTTAAGACCCAGCACCCTTAACTTCATCTATTTCGGAACTGTCCCGACTGTACACTGTCCCTACAATTACTTTCGGTTCGCGTGCACGACTGGCAAAATGTTTGACGGCAGAGGAACATCGGAAATAGCGACGATGCGAGATAATAGAATTACGCTGTATGATTAAATTAAACTCCTTGCTGAAATGCTGACGCGACCTCGAATTACGAGACTCGATGGTACATAGCTTCGTACGTTGCTACGCGCGGAACGTTTCATTAATTGCCACATGAAACGTTCGTCAAATAACCTCAATTAAGTGTTTGCTTACTTTATCACCGCGGTTATACTTTGTTAACTCATAATACTTCCCTTTGTGCCATCGCCCAGAATTTGTACCGATGCGATATTACATTTGTTACATTCCATGACAGACTGCATCGTCGAATGTTTAAATACTTGAGGTAACAACTGCGATAGCGTATAGCGTGTTCTCAGCGAGACGTATTTAATCAGTGAGGATATCATTAATCTTTTGAAGCAGCGCCAAGTTTAATATTCTCATGGAATATTACGTGCACGACATCCAGCGGAAATCTGTCTTCGACGACAAATATTCTTTCTCGCGGAACTTTTTCTGCTAACGTATAATCGACGAATCTCGCAGAATTGCGATACCTTCGCTGAACATTCGTAGAGCTAAAGAGTTAGATGGTAATAATATAAAAAATATGATTTTAGTGATATATAATATATCCACAATTAATCGCAATAAATCCAAAATTAGTATTAGACGTGTGATTATTTTAAGACCGTTGTATTTTGCAATACGAGTCTGTGTGTATATAAAATCAACTGCAACCTGCGGAATTCAATGCTGCCGAATCGTGAAAGCATTCGCGTGTAGTTTAAACGATCTTCCTGGCTCCTATTGTATAATTCAATAAAATTTGAATTTATTGCCTTGCTCGCGATGCGAATGGCGATTGCTCAGGAACGGTTCATTGGAGAATTCGGCGTATGAGAGAATCTCACGTATATACATACTTTTCTATTCTTTTATGTATTTATAAAGAATACGCTCGTTTATACAGTGATACATATTAAATGATTTTTTATTTTTACATTTTTGCTTGAAATCTCCACGGAGGAAAATTCGTTCCTCCGAATGGAGGCAAACGTCGTCGTATCGCCCTATCGTTTTCTTATATATCTTTTTGCCGGAGGCCGCTGTGCACCCAAAATGCGATCTCGCCATCGTGTGCAGCGAATGCACATTTATACGACGACACAGGAGCCAGGAAGCGGGGCAGCTTCCGATCTTTCTCTCCGTACTCGAGGCATTGTATTCAACGTGCCGCACGATAACCGGCATTATCCGGACACGTTGTGATTTTCCGCGGAAAATAAACCCACCGCTGTTTCCGCGGCGTGCCGGGAATACACGACGTGAAGTCGACAAGAGCGAAAAGTCTCGACGGTTGACCGAGCCGACGCCGTCGACGACGACGACAGTAGCAGCGACGGCGATGCGAGAAAGAGAGGCTCAGCTGTACACGATCGGTGAATACACAACGCACAACGAAATTGATCTTATTTTCCGCTCTCACGCATCCTTCCGCCATTTTCCGTTTACCCTTGACGCGTTTCGATAGTATTTGCGCACCGAGTGTATCGCCGATAAGGCTGGAATAATCGCTTCGCGACTATCGCGTTATACAGTCGAGAGACCACGAAATGATTCTCCACCGTACTATAGATGCAATTGAAGACGATATAATCCGGGCACGCGTTTAACGTTACTACACCACGTGCCAAATACAAATCGCTGAATATCGCTAAACTGTCACGCGGAAAAAATAGAATTTTTAAATAATGAAACCATGATGAATAACAATCACGCGAAAAATATTAATACCTCGTGCATTTAGAGAAATAAAAAAATATATACGCGCGGAATCACCGATATACCTATGCTCCCCCAAGCGGCTCACGTTCTTGACATATCACGTCGCGAAAAATAAAAAGTCCGCTTTGGCGATATTCGTAGCGCGTCGTTTTACTTCCTGGTGCACGGTATCGCGCAGCAAACGCGACATCATTGGCTTTGCGACGAGTCGAACAATCGGCAAAATCGTGGGCGATTTAAGCACGCATACATCGATGTGTCGCGCCGAATGTGTGCGCGCGGCCGTTCGCGCTCTCGCGCGCATTCGGCGCGATAACACCGTCGGCGAGCAATCGGTAAACAGATTAAAGCGCATTCGGCGAGTCACGCAGGTGAGCGCCAATTGCGTTCATTATTAACGTAATCAGGTGCAGCTGAGCCACGCATGAATACGCTTCGCAACGCGAGCGGTTAACGTTAACGATCGCGTCCGTTGGCGACGGTCGCGTTGGCAGAGTCGTTACACGTTGTCGAATCAGAGTTTCCGATTACCGCGTCCGATAATGAGCCTCGAATCCATCTAAAAAAAAATGACTCATGCCAATTCGCATCTGGTGCCACGTCGCGCGAACAAATTCGAGACTCTCAAACAGCAGGATAACGCGTATTTCTCTCGTACACAAATATCTTCCGATAACGAGAATATTGATACGCGAATATTTTCAAATAATTTTTCGGACACGAGATTGTCTAAATATAAAATATTGGATAATAAATATAAAATATTTGTTTTCCAACGCGCGAATTAATTGTATCATATTTCTCACATCGAGACGAGTGTTTGTCAAAGTAAATTATATATTATGTGCAATCTCCTA